CCTGCATTTTTGGACAAAACAATAGGCTCAAACTGATGAAAGGTATTGCTTTGTGCAAAACAAATGCCTTTGCAAAATGACGCAATATCGGTCTCTATTAGCTCAATGATGACCCTTTTAAAAATGGTTTGATCTTGAACTGGAAACGGCTAAACAATCTTGAAGCCTTTGGTATATTCATCGCATGATATATAGCCTAATCTAGCACATGAAAGTCTTTTGTGTGGCATATAAATAGTAAATATATACATCGCTCATGCATCTGCTGAAGCCGGCGAGTCTGGCCACGCTATAATAAAGATTAACATTTTGTTAAAAAAACAAAAGGGCCTATTGAAGTAAAATGAATTCCTTTGCTCATCCCCCTTTTGTTTTATTTTTAGGTTCATCCAGACACGGGAATATCCAGCAAGGCGATGTCGATCATGAATAGCTTTGTCAATGATATTTTTGAACGGATCGCATCAGAGGCGTCAAGACTGGCACAGTACAACAAGAAGAGCACTATCAGTAGCCGAGAGGTATGTTATTCTTTGAAGTTGTTTTATGGGCGGGTCAAATGTTTTTATTGTTCCTTACGCCACTTTAACGAGAAATGGAGGTTTCGTGGACTAGTGGATACGTCACCCGACTGCGATTCGCATGGTTTGCGGTTCGAGTCCCGCTGCGGCACTAATGTCCTTCGAAGAGATACTAATCTAAATAAGCCACTCTCCACCCAGGTGTAGGAAACAGGTAGCTGGATGGAAATTATTACTTGAATACTTCTTACAATCTTCGAGTATATACCACAACTGACGATATCACTAACGTATATGACAATATACCTTAGACTTTATTCATTTACTGAAGTTAATGAGACAAGTCCGTTTTATGTTGTCACAGACAAGTCCGTTTTCTGTTGTCACAGACGTTTATAGAGAAATCAACGATTTTATGATCTTATATAAATGAACATAAATGAACACGTATGATTTTTTTTTTAATCCACAGACATGCAATCATAGCGCGAACGCTTAGACGTTCGAGAAATTAAAATTAATTACACAAGTGAAATTTCAATAACCTGTTGTATACCCCCACAGAAATATTCGAATGACGTAATACGTCATTGTCATGTTTGCATATTATCAATAGGTGGTCGAAAATGCTATTGGAATTTGCCGCGGTTGAAATATTTGTTGTTGCAAATCTTTTGGATCGTGTTTTAAATGGTTCATCATATTATGCTCCACCAGAATGAAGCGTTATTTTTTCCTGCAGTCAATCGAAAAACATTTCGAATCAAGAACTAACAATAGTTCCGTATTTAAAGACTATTACAAATCTGAACAACTTTTCGATATTCTGAGTTTGAGGCTTTGGTATGAGAATGTAAATTATAATCAATGATTTTTATTTTCTTTCTCCCCCAGGTTCAGACCGCAGTCCGTCTTCTCCTGCCCGGTGAGCTGGCTAAACACGCCGTGTCGGAGGGCACAAAGGCCGTTACCAAATACACCACTTCGCGGTAGAGACGCGGTCATTTTGAACATTCGCGGTAAACACCGCAGCCTGAAACGCGGTTAACTGCTTGAAGGCGTTTTGAAAGTACCGCATTATTATCGGACATGAAACTACCCGGGCTGCTAATATTACGGTTGCTGTTCATCATATGTGCGTTCGACGATCGGTTTTTGACAAATTTGATGTGACAAGTCAAGAAACAGAACTACATGATCTAGCAGTTTAAAATGACTCCACATGGTGCTATGTCAGGAGCATGACCGTCAAGCGTTTGTAAACATCTTTTGAATGGTTCGATGTGCGATTCATTTGTATAACTCGTTAAATGATTCGTAATTACCACCAAGAAGTAAATTAACCCAATTCCTTTAAGATTTATCTTGGTTTTAAGACTGTAATTTATAAAAGAAACGGAATTGAACCAATAACATGCCATACTTTGTGCTTTTTTTTATGAGACTCAAGTTTGCTTGAAATTAGAAACACTTAATTCATTGGACATACAAGTGCAGATATAGTGAACAATGAAAAAGTAAGAAAGTAATCGCGGAATATAGGGTATCTTTTCGAGAAAGCTGCTTCTATTTATTCATATGCCAAAACTGTATCGCTATTCGATCATCTACAGGGACTTTTAGATTTGCACGACGAGAACGTGGACTGCGACGTGTGACAACCTTTTAAGACAATGTGACGTCCTTTTAAGGCTCGGGCAGTGCCTTAAAAGGGTGTCACACGAGCAGTCCACGTTCTCGTCGTGCAAATCTAAAAGTCCCTAATATCCAGATGAAAAGAGCCAAGGTATTTTTTTGGAAGTTGATACTATTTGTAATGAGCAGATGCCCGTCCGACATAAGCAGTTCTGAATGAATAATAACTTCTCTTCATTAAGCGTACAAGTAGACTTTTTAATGTATTTTCAACTCATGATTTATGTACAAGCCTCATGTAATCTAAAATACCCATTCGCCCACATTTGAAGTATAACATGTTTAGTCGTGGTTTATCTTCTTAATAGGACATGTTCGTAATGTAACAAAATGTATACATAAGTGCCTCGATACAAATTATTTCATTCACCCGATACGAATTATTTGTATTTTAATACTCATAATACAAATTGCATACATTACGGTGTAGCTAGGTGGGACAAGCCATAATGTGTGTCGTATATACCTAGCAACAACAAATTTATGAAATCCGTATTCTGACTAATTGAGATACATTTATTCGTAACAGGTGAATGAAAGAATTCGTATTCATAAAGGCACATGCATAAATCTGGTTACATTAAAAAAATGGGTCTATTCAAAATTAGTTTCAATGTAACCACCGCTCATTAAAAAGGAGAAACTAGCCACAAAGTGTATGTGTGATGTGGGGGAGGATGTGGGGGGGGGGGGGAGGGGGTCATGCGTTTCATTTTCTTGCTCTGACCATTGCATATGTTATAAATTCTTTTTAGGGACAATATTGTAAACATTCGTAAAATTAAAAAGAAATCAAGAGGACGCTACTTTGTAGCTTTACCGGGCATGAGGCTCAGGAAAGAGTTTTGATAGATATTTTAAAGTTAATAGTTTACAGAATGTTTTAAAAAGTAAATATGATATTGCCGTTCATGTATGTATGTGACGCGAGGAGGAACTAACCCAGTCTTTTGTGTATAAATTTGATTGTGTACTTTATCGTCATGTTTGTGTGTATTTTTGATTTGATTTTCATGTTTGATAAATAAATGCGTTGAAACCTATATAACCACTTGATCTTTTCATCTCTTTTATTCTGTATTTCAATGTATCCATACCAAAATTAATAAATGTTAGGTGCTTCCGTAAGATGTGTCCGATTTCCTAATAAATCCGTTATCCATTGACATGACTGATGTCTTCAAAAATATGTTTTATAATCTTGATTAGATATTTGACTAATCAATTCTTCGTTCTGAAATCACAACGAAAGGTCAAAGATCATATCGGGAGAATTTACTTTTTATATGAAATAACTGGATTAGAGGCTTGTGTCGTGCTAGACATAATTCTTTCGCAGAAAGGCATGCACAGATTGGTCGTTAAAAAATACCCGAAGCTCTGTGTACGCCCATATAAGGCTCACTACGGTTCTAAAAATAATGCAGACGTTAATTCACAAAGCACGACAAATCCACCCTGATTTGCTCACGGTGCTATCGGATTAATGACTAAAATCACTCTGAAACTGCTTACGATAAAACGTATCAAATCACATCCATGACAAAAACCTTCCCATTAGATATACGATAATAATTGTACATCTGTATTGCCAGTTATCATTGATCACGAGGGCACGCGTATACAATGTTTATGGAGATTTGAAACAATAGATTGACGGGGTAAGATGAACCACTATCTGGAATTAGGGACAGAGGCTGTATGTACTACACTTTAAGTTGGACATCTTCAAAGCGTTCATTCAGCGGCTTTTAGATACAGGGGTGATGGGGGCATGTGCCCTCCCCTATCGGAGGATGGTCAAAACAAAACAAAAGAATAAAGAGAGAAAGGGAAAGGGAGCAGAGCCCCCCCCCACACTCAGTGTTATTTAGGGTAGGCATATGCGTGTTCCCAGCACTCCCCCCCCCCTTTCAGCGTAAGTCAGGTGTGTGAAGTCAATATGGGTAGACCTTTTTCTTTTGTTATACGAGCCTTTTCAGCACCCCCCCCCCCGTGCGTACCTCCGATCCCGGATTGGGGGGGGGGGGAGCAGAGGAAAAGGACAAGAAAAAAAGTTACCTAGACCACCTCCCGAACCTTCTTCATAATCAGTAGCGTTGTGAATCTGCATTTCATTTTCCAGATAGGATCGGAGCCCCCCCCCCCCCCCAAAAAAAAAATCACCCAATTTGCCCTCTCAATAGGTGGAATTATACTACGTCACTGTTTTGAATACACTATTGCTCGTGAAGTTTGAATTAAATTTCTTACCTCTTTCGTGAAATGATTGTGACAATTATCATTTATTCTTGATTGATAAAGTTACTGATCAATCTAAAGAGTCAAAGAGATCGATACTAGTTTTTGATAAATTGTGAACTCTTTTTTGTTAGAAACACATCATAATTGTCACAATCATTTCATTAAAAAAGGTAAGAAAAGATTATTCCCACTTTAAAGGCAACAGTGTGAAAACACCGCGCGTTCACACTTTCTCAGATGAAGTTACACGAATAAACTTTTTGGATTGATTTTCAGATTCCGAGAGGTATCTGAAACACATCTTTGGTAAATTTGTTGTAACATTCTTCTGTTTGTAATTAATGTAATCTTCGTATAATAATGTTCTCTCCCCCCCCTCTCTCTCTCTCTCTCTCTTGTATTTTCTGCTCATGCGCTTTGTTTCTAATAAAAAAGCGCTATATAAATGTAATATTATTTATATCATTATTATTATCCTGTCAAGATTAGGTAGGTACCCTGCAATGTGACTACGCAAGACATAATTACAATGTGCACACGTTTTCAGGATTCATGGCAAACTTTATTACTCTCTTTGAAGGGAAATATATCGACGTCACACAAGAGAAAAAAATCCCAAGAAAGAAGATTTGTAGAACAGCATAAAAACTGGTTAGCAGTACAATTTATCTTTCTACAAATCATAGTTATTCACACTTACTGCAGTAGTCTCAAATATCCTAGTTTGTAAGAATAAATATATCATGAGTTAACCCCAACATCAATGTACCATTAATTTTACTTTTTCCAAGATTCGATTTCCTTCCATAACCATGGACACATCTTAAATATAATTACGTCAAGAGGGAAATTATGTCTGATCAATTTGGATCCGAACGGATTGAAGCGCGTATACATTCTGTGTTTGCGACAGACAACAGTTGAAGACGAATATTGGTGCTTTATATGAAAGAACAGATAAATGAATGAATGAATGAATGTAAAAATGCATGAATAACTGTGAGAACGAATGAAAGGACAAATGAACGAAAGATTGAATTGATATTGAAATAAAAACATATTAAAGTTACCAATTCCTTCCACATGTTGCATCAACGAAACAAACTTACTGAGTGAATAAAGGAGAAAGAAAAAACACATTGAAGTTCCGAGTATTCCTTTCACATATTAAATGTACCAAAAGAACCTTAAAATAACATACAGTGTACATTGAATTCCCTAATCCTTTCACATAGTGTATGTACCATACGAACTGATTGAATACATTTGATTAATAACATAACGAAATACATTAGTATATACATTAGGATAATACTTATTAAAAACAACATTCAATCTTTAACTTCTACTACTCAATCACATCTGGCTTTGTCATATTATATTTTTGATTAACACTCACACAATCAAATAGTTTAAATCTATGAAGCACTTCAAAAACAAAACATAAATTAAAAAAAGAAAGTTAAATTTGAAAGCACTGCACACGCACAACTAGGATGAACAGTTACCAAACGTGCCGAGTAAACGAGATAAGGTACTTTGCGACTGAAAATATTCGTGCAGTGTGCATCGTACGTGTAGTGACTTGATATTCTTTCATGCCAAGGTATTGGAGATATAGGCTTTTTGAGGGAAAAGTGTTATTCAAGACGTAAAAACTTCATTCGCATAATCAGCGCAATCGTGATGTAGTCTCAACATTTTAACATGATAAATGTCATCCATCAAAATGCTGTATCCTTACTTAATAGCTTTTTCATTCAATACTCCTCAAGCTTGAAATGAGTTTGGACACCAAGCATGTTCCCTATTGCATTTCATTTTGATGGCATTTCATCGTCAGAACTCGACACAAATCTTGAAAAGTATTTTCGACTCTAGAGACAAACGCTACATGTATTTCAATAGATTTCATAAGTTTTGTCGTGCTAGCAAAAAAAATAATACTGCAGAGATGTTTGGCGAATGTTTTAACTACTCTAAAATCTTTCTAAGCTTCTTTGTAAATCTTTATTTTAAATGTCAAAATGGAAAGACAGATAAAAAAGATGTACAAATTATTCAACATAGTTTTGCTTGAAAATGTTTGATTCCAACATCATTCAATGGTTACCTGCATGCCCTAGATTTAAAAAAGCCGTCGGGACATAATTTGAATAGATTATACAAACCACTTTGTACCATTTTTGCTCATTAAAACTCATGTATTAATCGGGGTCAGAGAAAATATAAACCTCAAACGCGTCACTGAGATGATTTTATAAATATTTTATAAATTAAAAAAAATAACAGAACCGCTAACTTTTTGTTTAAAAAAACTTTGCATATCCAAAACTATGTTTGATTTTAAACAGTCTCGAATGCGCAAAGCTGCACTTACACCACAAAAGAGTTAGCTAAAAAAAAAAGGAGGCAGAAACCACTGAAAAATGTTGGAATAAATGCAGAAAAGAATTCTGCAAATTTCAGTCATGATCTACATGCATTTCTACTATAAATAGAAGCTCGTTGTGAGTTTGATCGGGACGAAACCATCTCGCAATATACATTTAGACAATTTGAACCTATTTGCTTCCGTCTACAATAATTAAACTCAAGACACTATATCTTCTTTGAGAAACCGAACGCCACCAAAATCTAAAGGTCTACATGTAGCATAATAATGCCACCAGCAGTCAAATTTGCTTTCCAGATAATATGTCCAAAGTAACAAAAAAGAAATGCCATAAAAAGGAAAAACAATTATTGTAAACGCATTGTGTCATTGTGTGCTTTGAGTCCGAGCCTATAGAGCCAAAGTGGCATATGTGTTAAAGAATACACGGGTCCATGCCCTTCTGGATCTGCTTCCTTACCAATAAGGAGGACAATTTTCAGGAAAGGTCACAGACTTAACGTTAATGTCTTTTGAGGTGCCCCTTTGCTATTGCCCAGCACCCCCTCCCTAGCCCAGATGAAACAAATGAGAACCTAAACAAATCATTCAAATAAAAATCAGATTTGGTACTAAGGAAACGATGACTCTATTATTGATGAGCAAAGTTTTGTTATGAGTCAAGACAATGTAATGGGAAATCCCAAAGAGTGGTGAAAAAGGTGTGTGTGAAGGGGAGCAGTCATTTCTACTGTGATGAATATGAAGAGCATATTAAAGACTTCCCGCATACAATCGAATGGTATTATCTCTCTGCTAATTGGCAAGATAACACTGTCTGTTCGGAGCCAGAAGGGCGTCAGCTCTGAATGGCTCCAAAAAGATTTCCGTTTCGAGACCTGTCGCTGCTGTATCCAAGCTGTTATGGAGAGATAGAGCCTGGCTAATACAGCAGCGACTCAATTTTTAATCCGTCCTAGGTAAGTATTTACCGAATCAGTGAATAGTCCGACTCTGTTTCATTTCCCAAGATGCCTATTATTAGCAGCTCCGAGGATAATCCATGATTCATATTCATCCATCCGTTAGTATGGGTATCTATGCTATATTATTTGATGCCATACTACCAGACTTTGTATTGATATCCTTTCTTTTGAGGAAAAGGAATTGCTAATGATGGGTATTTAATGTTATTTATGAAAAGCCTGAAAGTTAACCTCGTTTTGGGTGATGATTCTATTTACCAAGTGAAGGCGTATGTTGTTTTTCGTTTCGCAAAGATAACACATTCATTCAAACATGATAAATAAATTATAGAACATTCAATACGAGATACATGCAAATAAGTTGAAAACAGTCAAATCTGATCTAGAAAAATTGCCTCGCTAACATCCATATCATGCTTCCAACACAGTATTTACAACGGCGAACACGAAAAGAAAACAAGAACTTAAACCTTACTCTATGCATCAAAAACAGAAGGTGATTATATATATATACAAATAGGCTGAATAAATACCATATTATATTACTGTTACAAAGAGAAAAAGTACAGCAACAACTACAAAAACATATGACGTATTTAAATGTAAGGCCTTTGAAAGGGCGACCCCTACCAAAGTTTAATTGAAAATCATTAGTATTGCAGTTGAGACTTTAAAAAAAGAATATTGCATGAAGATCTAGATCACTGAAACATTAAGGAAAGTACATAAATAAATATTGAATAAGTAAAGTTATATTGCGAATAATAGCTCACACAGGAGGGGAGTGGTGTTAATGGAGAAGAATTTGAACTGATAATTGGATGAATTTTCCGATTAGGACAGTAAAATGAAATAAAAATGATTTGACAAAAGACTTAAAACTCACATGGTATGGAAATACAGAAAGAAGATCTCACTGATGATAAAAGAAAGGATGATATAGTGTCGAATTTGAAAAATGATGATGCGATATTGTTGGATAAAATGGTACATGTATAGTTGACTGAACTGCTGACCAAGACTCACGTTCTACACGCTCACACAGATGGCATATAATATACATTCGTGATACTGACCAGTTGTTTGGTTTGTTTTATAATTTGCCACTGTATAACAACCGATTATTCCCAAACACAACAAAGCTCTTCTATTGAGTAAACTGTTCTATACCACCTCAAAAATACCTTAATATTACAGTTCTTGTTTATTTATTTCTGTTTGAAAATGCATAAAGTTTTTTTTCCCCCAAGAATGTTAACTTGGAATATGGTTATACTGGATCTATAGTTCACTGCCCAAAGGCAGCATGAACGTGACAAGATTCAGTTCTCTCTTTGGTGAATAGTTTTAAAAAAAAATCTTTCTAGGAAAATACCCAAACACAGGTTTTTTCACAGATCTGTGAAGCCTTTTGAAGAAGAGACTCTTCAAAGTTTGAGTGATTTCAGAAGAACCTGAGAACTCTCTCTTTGGCAAATTTTGGATGCAAGCAAATAAAGTTTGCAATTACTAAATCTTTCACTCAAAAAAAAAAAAAACAACCAAGAATCCCTCTATGAAATCAATAGCTCAATGAATTTCAATGTTTAAAAAATTGATAATGTGATGCAAATGATGGGAAAATTTTAAGAGACGATCTGCACAAGTGTTACAGGGGAGAGATTAAAATCATGCTGAAGTTTAAATAAAAATGAGATTGCAACTAGCCGATGAAACATAGTTATTTTCCTTTTTTGAATGACGTAAATTATCTATTTCCTTCGAAATTACATAAAAATAGGAATAAAATACAGTACTACTTTCAATGTAACTAATCAAACTTGAAAATAAATGCACCCCAAATATTTTTTCTTCCACTTATAGTGTGAAAAAGGACAAAATATGTGTATGCATAAAATTCACAAGAATTTTTGAAGATATAATCCCCTTTATTTCTTTCGAGTGGTCACGCTTTCCTGTGTATTTAAAGCCCCTTTCTTGAAAGTCTTCGTGATCATATCATCTTCAAAAACTCTTGTCAATTCAAATGCATCTTCATGAATAATAACGGCCATGTCTCCTGAAGCAAAAAAAAAAAGTTGCGTCCTCTGAGAAGAAGACTATTAGTACAAAGATAATCAATGATGTTCGTTTCCAAACACGCATCTCAACATTGAAGATTAATTTCAAAACACACATGCTACACACGGCTTTTTCATCGCACGTGCCTAATAAATACGAACAAAGAATCACTCACAATATTATATATTTTTTCTATATATATCAACTCATTGCAAATGGGTATTGCCCAAAAAATTGTCCTTTAACTTGATTAGAGTATAACATGCCAATAGAAAATGTTAAAATGTTTAAAATTTAAAGTTAAAATACAGATGTTGTTAAGTGATTATTTAGTGAAAAGTTTTGAGATAAGAAGGAACAAAGTATAAGTCACTGATTCACTGCAACTGTGATATACAAATTAAAATAGATGTTCTTGCATATTATTCATATTCTGGATTATAACGACTATCATGTACATACTATGTACACTTTATTAACAATTTATGAATAATTTCTAATTAGTACTAATGAGGTTTAATACGATATACTCTCGACAGAGAATTTTTGTTTGTCAACCGTATTCATGAAAAGAATTCTCTTTTTAAATAATCTATATTAATTATTTATTCTATCACTAACAAAGCTAAATATATAAAGAATCTAATGTTATCACACAGACAAGGAAACTTACTTCCAAACATTAAATATTCCTAAAACCTTCAAATCTAGCCCAAACTGAGCTGCTAGGCAGTTAAACCATAGTATACCGATAGTCTGTTGAGAGCCAGATGGGTATTAACACTGTGTTAAGGAGAAGGTTGACTTCTGGGAGCGGAAAAAAATAACAATTTGTGAGATTTGTTATTCTTTTTAAAAGTTTTGAAGAGTATCATAGAAAAAGTGTTCCCTGAAAATAATGGCTCTTCAAATACGCTTATATTCAAGATATGTCAAGTAACAGCTAAAGGCTGTGGACCGCACTATCATGCCACATGTTTGTGTAGTCCCATAAGGATATTGATGTGTTCAATGGACGTGGCTTTTAGCAAGACTGGACCAATTTCTTATCATTTTGATGATTCTGAAACCTCAGATTATGCACCAATTCATAGCTGTTACATATTCAACCTTTTCAAATCCCTTCAACTCAGTTTCTTTTATAATGCAATCGTATGACTAGAACTCAACTTTATCTTTAAGATATATGAATCAATGCCCTTCTGGCTCCAGACAGACAGTATGTGACTACATAGTATTATACTTTACATTGCGTTGCAAACCTGTGACATATAAAATACGTGTGCATACCCTAAATAGTAAATACCCAACTAATGTTCCCTGGGAGCAAGAAGGACGTTAATTTCTATGTAACAGCATAGGATTAAATAATGACCTACTGGCTCTCAAACGACAATATATAGCAGATAAGGAGAAATATCATGTGCTCATGTCTTTCAGAGTTAGTAACACTTCATTCCAATGTGAGTATATGCATCTCAAATGAATAAGAGGTTTCATATTAAAAGAAGTTTCATTTTAGAGATTTTGCTCCATTTTAGGATTTAAAAAAAAAGAGTAAAGATGAAAGAAAGAGAAAGACAACAATATTATTCTTATTAAAAATAGAAGTTGATACTTTGTCTTATGTTTAGTACCATGAAAAGTAACATGAAAAGAAGCATGTCTTGGGAGATATTGGTTTCACCAATCGATACGAAAATAGATGAGAAATTACGCTGCCTGAGTACAAATCCTGAATTCAATATTTGTACATGATCATCACTTTTTTGGCAACACGTTGTATTAATATTTAGTACTATTAAACAAGAAGTATTTACATGTATTTATAAACCCAGTAGAGAATATCTGATAGCAAAAGAATATTTTTTCTGTGAACTCTCCCTCTCTCTTTCTCCTTTTCTGTGAAACAAGTATAATGACATTTAAAGCCCCAATGCACTTCGTATAGCTACTTGTGCCCTCTATATAGCCAACAATGCCTAATCAGTGACCATTGGTCCCCCATGATCCTCTCCTTTTTTATGTTAATTGAGAACTGATTTGATGAGATAACCACCTGTCAGTGACCACGCTGAGAAGTCTAATCCCTCCTGGCTAAACTAGAGCAGTGGGGTTTTAATACAGTATGGTGACAACTGAGGACTAATATCTGTAAAACATTCACACATTTGATGAATTAAATGTGAATAATTCAAACAGACAAACTTCATATCTAAAGAAGATAGAGTGTTCTGTTTTACAGCACAATCCAGGCAACCTTTCACTCTTTTACTTTAAAAGAGTCGGCTCAGAATTTTTAAAGGCAGAGTTAACATCTTTCTGGCTCTTAATACAACCTTAGTTCCAACCTAAGTCTTTTATTGTAAAAAGCATGAAATTTTGCCTATGATATTGTCGATAAAACACATTTTATTTTGCTGTAAATTTATTTACATCCATTCATCAAGTGGGCGAGCTTTACATCCTTTAATCTACATATATCACCATGACATATCACCTGTTGGTGGCCGTAACAGCATCAACTCTGTGTAAAAATACATTGTATTTGAGTTAACGCCCTTCGGTTTTTCTTCTGGCTCCAAACGGACAAAATGTACATTTAGGCAACACTTTTAATAAATGCTAGATTGCTTGAAACACAACCCTGTCACCAAAAAATGCTCAAATAAAAATGCACTACATCGTTGTCAGCCCTTGGGGGCCCTTGGGGGCTCTCTGCATTTGCCACACTCGACCCAGGTGAGGTAAATGGGCACCTGGTAGGATTATTCCTTGAAATGCACTGTGCGCCGATATCGGTAGGCGGTGCTAAAGCTAGGGTGGTAATTTCCAAAGCTCTTTGGAAGCGCATTGAGACGTTATATAATGTGATATGCACTATACAAGAACAGAATATTATTATTATTATTATTATTATCTACGTAGGGAAAAAAGATCATTGCTGTTGCCCTTGTCTTTGTCATTGTGCTTGTCCTTGTACTTGACCTTGAGCTTGTCCTTGTGATTGAGTTGCTATCAGATATTCTCTGTTCTGCCAATAGAGGGGGCTATGTAACCATGGCCTAACTGCCTAGCTTGGCCAATGCTTTTAGTAATGCTCGATTCTCATCCTTCACTTGGTCTAGCTCATCCTCTGCAGCTTCCAAATCCTAGGGAGGGATTAAAAAGAAAGTTGAGAAAATGTCAAAGAAGTGATCATCACTTCAAGGCCAAGTTTCATAAAACTTGTTATCAATACGAAGTTGCAATAACTGTTATGATTGCAACTTGATTGATTGATTGATTGATTTTTATTCGCCAAGCTTCCAACATACAATATACAAGAATAACAGATCAAAATTAAGTCAGCTTAAGTCAGCTTGAACAGGATAACCCAATTATTCCATTAAGATCATTGAAATCATGATAATTATGTAATGAATAAATACAAAGAAATACATTTGAAGGACTCCTACGAAAGCAAATATTATTTTGAGGTTCCCTTTTAACCAGAAAAAAAAATCCAATTTCTTCCAAAGTTTTGAGAAAATCCATTTTGAATATTTAGTAGAGTGTTTAGAGCTGTTCTTTACTGCAATAACACTTGCTTCTATCATGTTGTAGTAAATGTTCTGAAAATTGAATTAATAAAAAGGGAACTCAAATAAAGCATACTCCAATGTAGGCAGCTTAAGAAATTTCTTACTTGGGACAAAACAAATAATCTGCCTTCTATTCCGATGTAAAAGTATTTCTCTGATGAAGAATCAGGATTTTAAATTAAATTCAGAATAAATCAGAAACCTATTCTCAGGATGCGATACAATTTAATATAATAAAAATGACAAAATCCTATCAATCAGACGTATCCATTTATTCCTCTAATATGACATTTAACAGACAGGAAATGAAATATCTAAGATGTGTAGAACTGCTGCATCTTTATAAATGATATAAATGTATATATAGTTTCACAAGCATAAAACAGTTTCATGAAGATACGACTGCATTTCAAGAATATGAAATTCACTTTTCGTTTTGTAAATATATGATCTTTATCACTTAGGATAGATATAAAGCATGCTAGAATACATAGTCATTACAAAAAATATATAGAAATAATGGATATATCATGTATGCATGCACATTCAACAAAAATATGGATATATATATATACCACATGGCCTGTTAACAACTGCACACCAATACCAGTACATATACAGGCTTGTATCATGCAGTCCATCAATTATTTACTAAGAATAAATACTTAATTCTTGCACTGGGAGAAAATTGAATTTTTCAAAGAGTATATTTGTGATCTAAAATATCACAGCAATGCATACAGTATAGTTTGGCCATATCTTTCGAGCACTATGATAGAAATCATGTTCCAAATTCGGTATCTACAATTATAATCCAGTTCATAAATCTATTCCAATGCTACAAGTTACTCTACTTCACTGGTATAAGCATGAAGTTTTTGCACATTGCCTGACATTGCAGCAACTATGACTACAAACCGCCATTTATATGATTACCAAAGTGATATGCATGTAGGCAGAGCCAATATTCAAAAACCTTTACTGTGCGTAGCTGTCAATGTTTTGATAGAAGCTCTTCATTTGAATACAATTTTGAACTGGTATATCATTGATTTACAAGAAGGATATGCATTGCAACCAGCACTTAATTGGACAAATTCCTCAAACATATCATTTGAGGAAGTTCATAAGAAAAGATTATCAAGTGTTTTACTTGGGTGAGAATCCTGACTTCTTGCTCCAGAATGGTAACCCTTTCCTGCGACTGGTCGAGCTTCCGTTGTAACCTTTTGTTCGATCGTTTCTCTCGGTTTAACATCTGATGTGCGGGAATGGCGTCATCATGACGGTGAAGGGTTCAAAGGTCGGGAGATGGACGAAGGGGTCACCGAGTCACAAAACATGCAGGAAATAGTACGGGGATGCCATGCATGGGGGGAAACAAAATTGGAATGGAAAATGGAATTATCAATGAGTGAAAATAAATGCAATTAAGTATGTTAATGTATACACAACACTATAGTCTGGTTTCAGAGTTAAATGATCGTTTACCGCACTCGAATTGAGAAGGACGAAAGTATATCCTGACCGAAATTGAAGTTCTTATTTTCATCAGGTTATCTCAAGCTGCTTAACAAACCCTATAGGCTGTAACTTGGTAAACTTACCTTTTGTGTATACCAGCAGAGCAAATAAGCCAATTCAAAGTTAGGAATTAAGTTTTGGGACACAAAGGCTGATTCAATTTTTTTTAAATTATGTGTTTATCAAGAAATCAAAACATAACATATACAAACTTTCGAAGGAAATAAAGCTGATTCACAATTGACTTTCGCTTTGCAATATTCTTTGGTATCTTTTTCAGAATAGATATATTCTCTCTTATAAGGTGGAAATTTACATATCAAGTACACATTTGATCTATATGTGTTAATTTGAAAGGAGAAGATATTTATTTCACATTCGGGTGTGCCAAATCTATCCAAAATGACAATAAACTGTTTAGTTGTTTATGCTACTAACTGAACTCACAGCAACAATCAATTCCCTGACAATTTTAAAACAAAATTTGCAAAGAGATTTGATTTCAAAATTATCACATCAAAACATACAAATCAGCAATCTCGCCACTGCACTGCCAAACCTTATGGAAAGTCTTTTTTAATGAAGGGTATGAAGCAGTAACATCAAACATCTAGTTTTATTATGGGTGACTTTGGTAAATGGAGTTACGCCTTCCTTTTTAAAAATACTAACAATCGCGTCTTTTCTTTCAATGGTTACAGCTCAAATAAATCATGTAGCACTTGTGAGGTGTTTAAAACATGTATTTTATTGTTGTTTATCGTTCTTTCTTTTTTTGAGGATGAGCATTTCTAATATTCTTAACAGTTTTTCACTTTTCAAATATACTCGTTTCTTTTTTTTTTAAACTTGCAAATGTGTGCTATAATATTCGCATGCTGTTATTTTGATATTGGAATTCAGATCAATTTAAAACAATTAGAACTGATGTATTCACAACAAAGACATAAATATGAAAGTCCATTAAAATGCTCAATATAATCAGATTCTTTTGTTAGTTGTTCACAGGCTCACAGCACAAACTGAGAAATATGTTGTCTCATAGATACCAAAAATGGAAATAAGATATGAAGAGAATGTAGAGTCCTTTATGTCCGTCTACCGCGAGGGCGCTATATAAGATAACATAAAATAATAATGACTACACTGATATACCAACAGTTAACAACTAAATTATTCATACCCTTACCAAGTTTTACCATTTGTTCAAGCATGTTAAAAATTGATTTGTCCCAATTTATGTTTCTTGAGAATGTGACACATTTAAGATTACATCTGAAAGTATACAACAAAGACCCTAATTCAACCATTCCAACTTTCATTCTTGAGTTATGAAAACATTGAATTCACAAGGGTTATTAATAATCTAGTTGCTCAACTGTATAGGTAGCAAGATGAAAAGACTTGTAATTCTAACATAAAAGTAATTTTTCAACATTGGAAGTATAACAATTTTATCAAAACAATAAATAATAGAGAATTATATTCATTTAAAAGGGAAGAAAGACAGGAAAAGACAAGGATAAATAAAAATTTAAAAGAAATAAAAATCATTCAGTACAGAGACATTTCATGAGACATATTACAGATTCACCTATACAACATAAATCATAGTAGACAGGACTAGAAGATACCTGAGCATCGTTTCATGAAACCAGAGATGCCAACTTTTGGAAAACATAAATAGGGAGGATTTGTAACGGACACCAAATAATGTGCGCGTAGCGCACATCTCGAGCGCGTAGCGCCCGACCCATGCGGCCGGGGTCCAGGGCCCGCCTTAGGGCCCTGGAAGCTCTGGGGTTCTAGATGCTCTCTGGTGCAATCTGAGCCTTATTTTGCAGCATTTTACATGTGTATTTAGTTCAATAATTCCCACTTTTTTTTAAAATAACATACAAATTGTACAAAATGCATGATGAATTCCTTTCATATATATGATACAGTGTTCGGTCTTATACTTCTGATACCATTTCTTGGTCTTCTTTAGCTGATTTTCCGCCATTTGGATTCTGTGTCAATATCCACGCATTGGTTACGGCGATCCATATGCTGAAACAATCTTTCGCTACTCTTAATTTGTCTTTTAATATAGTGGATTTACTACATGCTAAAGTTAACAGACGATATTTCTCATTCAATTCACAGATATATATACTGATAAGCGCCAAAAAAAAAAAAAAAAAAAAAAAAAAAAAAAAAAAAAAAAAAAAAAAAAATCATTTTTTTAATTTTTTATAATAAATCGGGAGGATAAGGATGGTGATCGTAAGGTCGGGAGTTGGGGTGAATTATCGGGAGCCTCCCGATGAAATCGGGAGGGTTGGCATCTCTGTGAAACGTTCATAAGTACAAGTTCACCGACATCCCATTAATACACATATTTCAATAGGATGTCGGTGAACATGTACTTATGACGGTTTTGTGAAACAGGGCCCTGGACTGAGATAAAATGCATGCACACCAATAATCAAAGAAAAGAGAGATAAAACTCCATCAAACAAAAAATAATTTGTAACTAAAAGCTTTAGAAATTAATTAATATGGGTGGTTTCTTGCAAAAGAAAAAGCAGTCATTCAAATCTCATTGTAAGTTGTTTGTATCTTTAAGGGTACACGATGATTTAGTAGTATGAAGAAAAAAAGTGAGCAACATATTTATGTTGTTTAGTTTCATAAATAATTGTTTTTGACTGTCCATGTCAAGTACAATCAATTAACAATTTAATCAGGATGTTTTTGATAAATACAGATGAGTTCTCTGACACTACGAAATTGGATCTAGAAAGGTAGAACGATTGCCTCTCGTTAAGTGGGAATTCCACCCTGATATTAAGTTGGTTTAATTAGAAGCAGAAAAATAAGAGCAAAGGTCAGTGAAAGTTTGAGCAAAATCCACTTTAAAATAGGAAAGTAATGAATTTTCGATGTTGTCATCAGGTAAACACAAAATTGGCAACCCTGTGATATATTTTCCGAGCTCCTCTCCAATTTTCTCGGTACAGAAAATTTAATTAACCTCATTTTCTTAGTGATTGATGACAAAATAAATTGGTTTCATACAGGCTCTGTATAAAAACATATTATCCATCAATAAATATATCTAGGATGAATGTATGATTGAAAATTTAGAAAAAATATAAATTTTGAAGTTTTTCAGTACGATCCAAATGGGAGAGGAGCTCACGGAGTTGCCAATTTGTGTTTGATTTATCACACCTTCAAAATTCATAACTTTCTTGTTTTTAATTGTTTCTTTCTCAAACTTTCACTGACCTGTTTCTCTCAATGTTCTGCTTCTATTAAAACCAACTTAATATCAGAGTCGACTGCCCCTTTAACACTAGTTTTCATCAAAAAATCCAAACATTGATGAGAATTTTTTTAAAGTCCTACTCACTCTTTGAACTTCTTCTGCTGATCTTTCATCTTCTTCACCGTCATCAGCTTCTATCCTCTCCGTTCTACAAATTCAAAGAAAAGAAAAACATGAAAATCATTGCCATGGACTAGCTCCTATGTCCCCTCATGAAATTGGGTCCGTTAAAATCAGCTATGGAACAATATTCTCCTGTACAATCTCTTGCATATTCTTTACAAAAATGTTATGTTGAAATTATCAATCTGGGCTTCATTGGACCGAGAGATAACATCAATCTGAGCTCTAAATCTAGAGAATAAGCTAAGATCTGTTTAAGGTATCATTTTGCAATCAATAAAAAGTGGTAGAAGATGGATCCAGAATGCTTGAGACTTGAGGGTTGCCTCTTAAATTCTTAAGAATCTCACCACCCCATGACAAAAAGCCTGTAGTACAGAGACCCTAAAAAGAGACATTCTAAGTCAAACATAGTTTAAAATGGCACCCTATCAATGCAGATTAATACACCTTCCCCAAAGGTAAAATAATAATTTAATTTGAATGTAGGAAAAGCATTGGAGCCCTAGGTCATGTTATACTGAAAATGAAAAATGTGTAATAGGTGTAATAAAGCTCCTTCTTTCACTTAGTGGTATAGCGCCCTCTGTTGGTTAAGCGATGAAACATATGCCTGGAGCGTGCATACAACATTTCTTTTCATGGAATGAATGGCCTTCCAAACTTTGTGAAAGAAATTGTATTGATATACTGGTTGTGGTATTGTACTTTTTTTTTATTAAACAAAACAAATCAAAATATTGTTACACCAGGGAATTACTTGTAAATAGACTATTAAATCATACAGTTACCTTTCTAACTTTGTAAAAATAAATATATTATTTGACCAGTAAATTTGTAGTCTAAATTCTGTCTTAGCAAAATGTAGTGGCAGGAAAAGACACCACCTAAATGCAAAAGGCGAAGTAGTTAGTGATGCTGGTTAATTAAAAGTTCTTTTTGAAAAATCTGAATAAAAGTTAAGCTAAAATGAAGCCTTGTTGAGATGGTATATGGATTAACCAGCTCCATATCCTAACAATACGCTTCTACCTCTGTGTGATGAAATTATGATTTTTTTTTAAAAGCATTTTTCATTAAAGAGGTATCTTTGTGTGCCTATTTGGCTAAACTATATTAATTACAAGTTAGAAATACTGAATATTAAAGAGAAAGACTTACCTCCTATCGCTTGATTCAACTGCATCTACACTGCTTCCATTCTGAAAAGATAAAATAAAGAAATAGAGATATTCCGGTAAAATGCTGTTTTTCATCCAGTCATCGATCATGATAATATGTGTTGATTGTTAAACACATTAAAATAATTAATAAAGAATGTTAAAGTTAGTATTAACATTGTGACATGGTAGTGAGAGTAATTACATGTTTTACAAATAATTTTTTAATAAGAATGTCAGAAAACACATCCCCAACAGCTTTAAGAAAACTAAAAAGTTGGTATTAGTAAAAAAGGGGAGAAAAAAAAATTCAATGAAGAATTGTTATCCTTGTAGTCTGATCATGTAAAAGAATATTACATGCTACTTGTTGAAAAAATGTGATTGTCTACAATCAATTTTCAATCTCACTCCATTGTTGAAACAGGAAACATAAACATTGGGCATCATAATGTTACAATATCATTTTTATAATCCTATATGATCTCTGGATTAAAAGTGAATTGATAAATCATACTACACTTAAATAAAGTAAAGAAATTCTAGATATGATAAGCATCTGTATTTCCTATTATCAACATCTTGCACAATTGAGAATTTTTCCACAAAGAACACTAGGATTTATAAACAATTTCCTTAGAAAGCATTCATAAAGTTCAAATTTTTCAAGAAACATTTAGACATTGATACATTCTGATTGCGAAGTTCATCTGATAAACTTGCAAAAAGGAACCAACTCTTTCAAAAAATCCTCCTTATCGAATTGGATCATAATTCAGCCACAAAAATACTATTGTCAACATTTCTATTCCTTCCTGACATTGTGTTGTTGATAATGCTTGGTGTTTACATTCATCAGTCAAGTGCATTGTAACCCACTAGCATTGAAATCTAGGGTACAGTTTATTAGCACAGGGTACAAAATATCATAACGTCTGTTAGGAGAAGGCAACATAAACAAGGAAAGCCATAAATGTCACCAAAAAATTCTTTTTTTTAGAGAGAAATAATTTCAATGACACCTGTTCAAAAGCGAAGAGGGAAAGAAAGGCGGTGTAATGATATGATTGCAGGGCCCTCAGGGAGAACAGTATTAATACTGATGAGGCTACCGTGGGTAAACAAGACATATTATTATTATTGTTATTATATAAAGGATTAAAATGAAAGAAAATATGAAGAGAGTTTAAACTTCACATTAGCCTATAATTTCAGGCCTCAGAATATTGCAATAAAAACAAGCAAGTTCACATTCCTAACCATTTAAAAAAGTGAAAAAATAACAATTTCATACAAAGTTTGGTAGTGAATGACTCTTCAGTATTAACATTTTTAAAGAGAATTATGTTTCTAAAAAAAAAAAAAAATTGAAAACACATATTATTGTTTTAAAGGCTGTCTGTACTAGTTTGGCTAGGAGGGATTAGACCACCAAGGGTGGTCATTGACAGGTGGCTATCTCATCAACTCAGGTCTCAATTAACATAAGAAAAAGAGGATCATGGGGGACCAATGGTCACCAATTAGGCGTTGTTTTCTGTATAGAGGGAGCAAGTAAGCAAACAAGAATTCTTTTTCATCCTACATACATGTAAGTGAGTTTTGTAAAAATGCAATTGTGAAATAACATCTTTTAGAGGACAATTTTTTTCTTCAAATAGACATTTCAAAGTTCAAAATACAGATTCTTATCAAAATATGGAATGAAAATAAACAGGTAACACATTCCTTCCTACCGCCTTCATGCTTACACTAGTCAAAATAACATTCTAAAAGTAGTTGGAAAACATTGAAAAAGCTGCACAACATCAATTTCGTTTTTTTTCCTGATTATTTTCAACCCTGTACATATTTTCATCTACCATTTGTTCCATGTTAGCCTAAAAATATGTTTTTTGTCTATTTTCCTTTTCTAGGAAACACCGTAAAAACATTGACAAAATATAGCCCAAAGACATGTTTTTCATACATGACAAAAGACCAGGGAGGAGCTAGTGAATACCATCACAATCACATGTCTGACAGTCATGTATTTACATGTGAATATGTCTGCCGCTCTGAACAAACACAGACATATTTTCCTCCTTTCTGAGTAAACATTCTATTCTAGTTCAAGTGCACATGTACAAGTTATATCTCAATTTGAATTACTCCATACACAGAGGTTAGAAACACATACAGTTAATAACTGAAATATTTGTACCCCTTGTAATTTGATGTTTTTGTTTTGTAACTCAAGGATGAAAGGTGGACTGGTTGAAGTAGGGCCTTTGTTGAATAGCTTTAGATGTGCACTTTAGTATGTAACATTCTCAAGAAACATTAATTTGGACGATTGAATTTTTCACATACTCAAATAATCATAAACAATATGGTAAGGGTATACATAATTTAGTTAGGTGAAGACCAGTTTTGGAAACGCCCCCCTCTCAAAAAATGAAATGGAAGCTCTTATTACCAATTATGTGAAAGAATATGTTTTGACTAATACATGATGATAACAATTTTGCCGGGAAACCCCCGTACTAATTGATATATTTGGTAAATTAGTTGATCTATTGGGACCAAATAGATATTATGCATGTGTCGCGCATGTGTGCGTAGTCCTCTTTCTGTGTACAGTGCTTGTAACTTTACGAAGACTGGGCCAAATTTCGTATCATTTTGATGATTCCAGAAGCTTGTAGTACACACCAATACTTATATGCTCAGGGGTGATAGTGAGCACTAAAAAAAAAATAGGTTTTTGGTTTTCCCTTCAACCACGCCCCCCTTGAGTAAAAAAAAAAAAGAGGATTCGCGGGGAAAAAATGGCATCTAACAATATTCCCCCCTTTCGAGTAAGAAAATTGGGAAGCAAAAAAAAAAATAGGGCAAAATAGGGAAGAATAGAGAAAAAAAAAGGGGGAAATCGGGAAAATCAGGATAAAATAGGGAAGAAAAAAAAATTGGTAAAAAAAAAAAAAAAAAAAAAAAAATTGATTTTTTTTTTTTTTTTTTTTTTTTTTTTTTTTTAAATCGGGAAGGAAAAAAAAATCGGGAAAAAATCGGGAAAAATAAAAAAAATCGGGAAACCGATTTAAATCGGGTTTTTATCAGGCCTGTATGCTAGATGATCAACCTTTTCTGAACGATTCCACAACGTTCTTTCACAATGCAATCGCATGACCAGAACTGGTCTTTATCTTTAACTGTGTATGTTTTGATTAAAAAAATATGTTTTGTTCAGATAGTGACATCACACTCTAAGATGAATTGATCCAATTAATCACAATGCTGAAAAAACAGGAAAAGCGGGGTGTCAAAGGGCTGAACTTGACATAATGGAAAATGCTGAAAATATAGAACACTGAGAGGGATTTTGATTATTTAAAAAAAACAACATTGATTTCATATTTCATAACTTGTTGTTTCTGTCACCATAACACCAAAAATCAACAATACCTTTTTATGAACATTACTTGTCAAGGTCATATTGGCATTATGGAAAATGATGAAAGTTCAGAAAACTAAGAGGGATTTTAATTATTCTCAAAAAAACATTGATTTCATATTCATAGTTTGTTATTTCTGTTGCTATAATACCAGAAATCAATAATGCCTTTTATGAACATTACTTGCCAAGGTCATATCGGTTTGTTTACATTATGGCAGCAAAGCCATGAATGCACGTGTTATTTTGGAACACTGAGAGGGATTTTCATTATTTTCTGAAAAACATTGATTTAACTTGTTGTTTCTGTAACTATACTACCAGATACCAACAATGCCTTTCTGTGAACATTACTTGCCAAGGTCATTTTGGTTTGTTTACATTATGGCAGCAAAGCCAAAGAATGCATGAGTTATTTTAGGAACGACTGACTGACTTAGTACTTGACATGATAGTATTGTGGTTTTTGAGGTATTTGAGAATGGTATGAGGATCTATCACTTCCTCATTGTGACCTCACAATGCCATAAATCACCTGATAATAGACAACTACATTGATGAATTAAAGGTATAATTTTCATACATTATCCTGATCATATAACGTGTGAGAAAGCATAATTGAAATGGTAAGAGGTTAACCTCCGACTTTTATTCGCTTATTGTATTCAATACAACTTTTAAAAAACTAAGTTATTCCTTCATATTGCTGTCAAAAAACAAATAAAAAGAGTATAAACTTGTAGTAGGCCTATGTCAAATAAATACTGCCATTTGATTCCATAACTCACTCAATGAGAGGGAGAATCACAATAACTTATACATTTGTCCATTTTATTTCATTTATTTATTTCCACGTCAAGATAAAAACAATATCATATAATATACACAATACAAACATATATAGTGAGATGTCTAAAGTGGGAGGTTCATGAAAAGCACACGAATGGCTTGTTTAAAATGATCCTCACAACATTTTTACAAAATAACAATAACTTTGGTACATAATTTACATAAAGGCATGAAGTGAAAAAGAAATTGCTTATATAATCGTTGTAAACTACATTGATGAATTTTCACACATTTAATCCCCTTCTGATGCTAGGCAGACACATTAGGTCAAAATTACTTGTTTGGCCCTGCAACCTTCCTCCACATTGCAAACACATTGACAGTCTGTGGCTTTTGTGGTAGTGATAGGGTGTAACATAACACAGTACTGTGTCATCAAAAGATCAACTGTAATGAAATAATAGGTCATAGTATGAAAATATTTGATTTAAAGAGAAGGTTGAGTTCTGGGAGGTGACAAATATTTCGGAGCCACCTCCTTCTCCTCCTCCTCCTACTTCCCCCTTCTCTTCTTCTCCTTCTCCTTCTCCTTCTTCTTCTTCTCCTCCTCCTCCCCCTCGTCCACCTCCTCCTCCTCCTCCTCCTCCTCCTCCTCCTTCTTCTTCTTCTTCTTCTTCTTCTTCTTCTTCTTCTTCTTCTCCTTCTCCTTCTCCTTCTCCTTCTCCTTCTCCTTCTCCTTCTCCTTCTCCTCCTTCTCCTTCTTCTTCTTCTTCTTCTTCTTCTTCTTCTTCTTCTTCTTCTTCTTCTTCTTCTTCTTCTTCGTCTTCTCCTCCTCCTCCTCCTCCTCCTCCTCCTCCTCCTCCTCCTCCTCCTCCTCCTCCTCCTCCTCCTCCCCCCCTCCCCCCTCCCCCCTCCTCCTCCTCCTCCTTGTAATCTTCAAAGGGCTATGCATTCTATCCTAAAGATCTGAATGCAGATTACTAGTGTATCTTTAAAGTCAGCTGAAATCTCCAGTCACCTTAAATGAACTCCTTTTCTTTCTCTTTTTTCCATGAATACCAAGAAGACCCGCACTGCTAAAATTAGAAAGTGGGGTCATATGGAAATAGACATGAATTTCAAATTTACAGACCTCAGTTTCCTCGAAAACAGAGAAACACTTAGGGCGATTTTCTTTTGTTTTCCTTGTCCCTGGCAAATGTTGCATGTTTGTTTTTTTCGAGGAAACTGACGTTCCCAATTTTGACTAGCAATATCCCTAAGGATGAAAACAATCACAAATACCTCGTCATCGTGACTGTGCATGGCTTTTGAACTTAATGTTATTGACCTGAAAACTTGAAGAAAAAAAGAAACAGAAAAAGGCTATTAGTGTAGCAGATATTTTGAAGAACACAATGGTGCTTTTTTTTTAACAAAGTGTTGAATTTTACCCAAGCTTGAGGTATATGCAAGCCATTGTCACCTTCAATTTTATCACAATAATTCGCCTTATTACAATAATCAATTTTGCTATATCCATGACATGTGAAATCCTACACTGTGTTTCTTAGTTCATTCTTAGGCATTTTACAGAGTATGGATAACAAATCATTATCATCATATGTTACATAACATGTACAATTACAGTAAAATCATTGGAGCCCCTACCACGTTTTGTAAGTTTTCAAGTAAGTTAAAATTTGATTTGTCCTGACTTATGTTTCTTGAGAATGTAAAATATTAAAACTTATATTCAAAAGTACTCAAGAAAGGCTGTAATTCAAAGAGTCCACCTTTCATGGTTGAGTTACTAAAAACACAAATTTACTTCAGAACTTTTGACAGCAACACGTAATCAGGTGAGGCAAGTGGAATCAGGAAATCGTAAACTTTGGTGTGGACGAGACCTGATTTCTCTTTCCGTCTGTCCTCAGACTGGTCAGTTATTTACTAATGGCCAACTAGGTGGACTTAGGACTTAGGCAAGGACATGCGTGTGTGCCAGTGTTTTTTTAATTATCCTGGTGTCATAAATGTCTGTGATGCCCAAGTGTTGTTATGAACAAGCTTCTCGTAGGTGAGAGATTCACAACAACATTGGAAACTAGATATAACCCTTTCTAATATTATGGTGCGCCCCACAAATATTCAGTAATTTTGAACCAGCCGTTGAAAAACCAGATAGTGCCTTATATGTTTTATTCCAGCCAATGCCAATATTGGCTTTTTGTTGGCTTCTTCGTGTTGGTTATAATACGCACAACCAGCCGGCCCATGTATTGTTATTATTAATTAATTAACGGTCACTGTATCTTTTTTAAAAGTGTAGCTGAATTGGTATGGGGTCTATAACTACCTTCATAGCAATTTTAGGGTCTAAAAGGGCACTAGAAGTGTCATAAATAAGAATAATAGCAATAACCATACACTTTGAAGGCATTTGCGGTCTGAAACAAGAACTCAACAATCTCTTTTAAAAGAAAAATGCATCAAATGGGTGATTCTCCTGTTTACATATTGTGACGGGAGATAAAGTAGACTTACCAACTCTCAATTATCAGAATTTTCAGAAAGATATTCAAGCAAAATTAAAAATATTCTCTGTTTGGAGCCAGAAGGGCATTGCCTCATATACTTTAACACAGACTTAATACCCTTCTGGCTCAGTACAGATGATATATTGATGTATGCTATTTTACATACTGCTTTCAGAAAAAAAGATTCATCTAGGCACACAACATAACTATTAAGGCAGAAATGTGGAATTCCATCCCCCCCCCCCCCCTGTCCAAAATGGATTGACTGGCAATGTGTACCATACTTTCACAAGGAAACATCTTGAAAATGTCATGGTAGTCAAGTTTTGCTCTACAATTTTCTCTTAAAAATAACAACATTTAGGCAGTGTATATAATTATACTCATACAGTAATTAACAAAACAAACTGGGATTGAACTAACTTGAAAAAGGATACCCCAATAAATAAAAGAATATGTGTTGATATAATGATTATCAAAAATAATGTCACTTGTTAGAAAAATCTAGTGACATATTTGTAAGTAGTAAAGTCATAAATGTTTTTTTTTTTTTTATGGAAACAGTACATGAACAACCAAACTATAAATAGTATTAGTAGACTACCTGAATTAATGTCTTTTTACTGTTTTCTATAAGTGATCACACTCATGTATTATATACACAGGATTAGGTTGTACACATGATTACCAGGTGTGAAACAATTTGTGGGGAAAACTTATATAAGATTTCAAATGTTTTTGAACCATGACAAGAAATATTAGTAAATCAAAGAAACTATAGCCACACATTTTATGTTATCTTCGATAACTAGATTATACTGTGACGTGATGTCAGGAATTTTTGGAAAATAGATATCAAGGTTACACTGTTTACAATACATGTTCTAATGTAGGTGGGTGAAAAGAAAATAAATATTACTGAAATCATTAAATGTAGAGAAGAACTAATTTACATAATGGTAATTTCTATCACAGCAATCTGTTAAATGTTACAATCATAATTTATTCATCACACTTCAAATCTAGAAGATATGAGAGAACATGGACTGGGGCAGGCCTTGTGATTGTGAAGGTTTCTAATGAAATATAAAGAAAGAAATGGAGATAATTTAGAACCTCACTGTCAATGATTTAAAGGATGTAAGGACTAAAATGTTTTGTGTTAAAAAAGGTCTTTCTAGATAAGTCCATCTAATGGCTGTACATCTGTAAATGTCCTTCTACTAGGCACACAGCTTTTCATCATTTACCCAAGATTATGTTTCCTTTTAACTCAAATTTATAGTAGCACTATACAACCCTTCCCAAAAAAGTACCATGGTAACCATGGTTAAGTACCATGGTAACTATGGTTCTTTGTCCAAATTACCATCCATCATTCGAACCATGGTAACCATGGAATCAAACAATGAAATTACCGTTGTTTGATACCAAATGTCATTGTTTGATTCCATGGTTACCATGGTTCGAATGGTGGATGATAATTTGGTCACAGAACCATGGTTACCATGGTACTTTTTTTTACAAGGGAATACAATAACTACATTTCTGTAGCGCTCTTATACAAATATTTGCCAGCGCTTTAAATCACTTCAAAAAATACAAAATAAGTAGGAATAATATGGTAGTCAATGTTTGATTAGTTACATTAGTGCACCATAATTAAGTTGATATTACAAGATGGATAATAGTACACCTGTACATGGTTAAACATATACCTCATCAGAAGACGATCCGCCTCCAGAATCATTGCTCTATATTTACAAAGTTACAAAAGTAAAATGAAATAAATATAATTGTTTTTAAGGAGTTCAATGCAAGCATTATCATTAAAACATATTCATATAATTCTTTGAAAAAGCAACTTAAACAATATATGCAGTAACCTAGGGTCTTGTATTTTATATATAGTGCTGATATGCCTGTCACACTTAACACTCGAGGTGCTCCTCTGTTTCGATTATGAGTTTGACTGAAAAGTTTCAATTGCATTTCAAATGAGTTTAAAAGGAAAAACTGTATATATGGAAAGTAAAAAACACAAATAATTTGTAGATTGAATTACAATATTAAGTACATATTCGCAAAAATACCATAACACTCTATGACGGTGAGACACAGAGATATAGCCATTACAATGAAGTGATGAAGAAAGGGCATGAGAGAAGAAAGAAAATAAAGAAAAATGAAAATGAAAAGTAATATATTTATTGGAATTTAAGACATTTATTTTACAAAACACAATTATGAATCACAAATAAATTGAAAGATTGATAAATTGGTCAAAGTTAATCAAACTCCCTTACACATTTTCTTCCAACCCTGTCCAGAGACATCTTCCCTTTTCTCTAATTATCTCCATCTTTTTTCCTTTAAATTTGGTATATCTTACTCCATCTTCCCCCCTCCCCCCATTCTCTCTCTCTCTCTCTCTCTCTCTCTCTCTCTCTCTCTCTCTCTCTCTCTCTCTCTCTCTTTCTCACACACACCTTTCTCTACATCCTCCCTCCCATCACTCCTGTAAGTCATTTATAGGTCTTCATCATTCTACATGGCACAGTCCTGTCTTCTGGTACTTACAGATTGACACTCACTCCGGTATCCATTCATCAAAATAATCTCTCTCTCTCTATCTCTCTCTTCTAGACTCTCCCATCTCTTATATCCCTCTCTCAGCTCATCTTCTTTGTCTCTCGCTCCATCACACTCTCTCTCTCTCTCTCTCTCTCTCTCTCTCTCTCTCTACCCTCACTCTGTCTCTCATACCCCTCCCTTACTGACTCTCCTATCTCTTGTATCTGTCCTCTAGCTCTCTCTCTGCTCACTTTCTGTCTCTCAGTCTCTACCTGTGTCTCTCACTACATCTCTCTGACTCTCTCTCTCTCTCTCTCTCTACCCTCTCCCTGTTTCTCTATCTCTCTCTCTCTCTCTCTCTCTCTCTCTCCTAGATCCCTCTCTTACTGGCTCTCCCCATTTCTTGTATCCCAGCTCGTTCCATGCTTCATCTCGCTCTCTCTCTCTCTCTCTCTCTCTCTCTCTCTCTCCCTCCCTTACTTCTCTCCTTCTCTTGTATCTGTCCCTCTCTCAGCTCACTTTCTCTCCCTCTTGGTCCCTACCCCTGTCTCTCGCTTCATCTCTCTCTCTCTCTCTCTCTCTCTCCCTTATGCACTCTCATTTGCACACATGTGTATGTTCTTCGTGTAGATCTTAGTCTTACCACTCTCCTCTCAAATTGTACTCATCACATCCCTCCCTACATCCCTCCTTTCTGTTCTCTCTTTATCTCTCTCTTTCTGTCAAGCCCTTTAATAATCAATCTCTTATCCTCCAAACCTATACCACATCTGTCCCTGCTCTATAACATCTCTCTCTCTCTCTCTCTCTCTCTCTCCCCCCCCCCCTTCCCTCTACCCTCACATCTCCTCCCATCCTCCCTCCCACCTCCCTCTGTCACTCTCTCTTCACGCCTCTCCCCTCCGCTGAACGAGGTGCCCGGCAAACCCGGGGTAAACGACATATGACGCACACCACCCTAATATGGTCTTCAATAGGGCTGGCCTGACATGCTAGCTATGTCATAGTGCATTCTAGCTAGTGCATTCCCTCCAATACTACTACTATTGTGTGCAAAGGATTAACACAATCTCCCTCGCATTTGTCATCAACATTTTCAACTTTTCCCCATCAAATTTGTTTCGACCGGGGCTCGCGTTACAAGAAACACAACCTGGGCGTATTGGAAAACAAACCCTGGAATATAATTTGCTTGCCTTTCCCATCCCACTATGCTATTAATAACAGGCGGTGTAAAGCAAAACAATAATATACTCCTCCTTTAATCTACACCAGCTGTTTCTGCTTTCTTCCTGCTACTACTACTACTAGCTACAGGACTGTAACTTTCTAACTAAGACATGAATATGCTCGAACAAAGTTTGATTTAAGTGTTACATGAATAATAAAAATGATAACAATAAGTATGAATCTATGATATTTTAATGTTACTTATTGTTTAATTTTGTGTCCAGAACTTGGTAGATGCACACAATGCTTAGAGAAATATTGCAACCATTTCTTAATTAATAAAAATGAATGATATACAGGTATACTGTACAAACTAAATCTTTTTTCAGCTCAAAGATGTTAGTTATTATGTTGGATATAGTATATCCATATTGTTATAAAACTTTCTCAAGTATTGTTGGTATTAAAGGGCACTCCAACCTTTGTAACAATTTCATTTGTACTAAAGCAGACAAAATAAGCTAACTTTCTTTAAAAGAATTGTCAGACCTAATTCAACTTTCAACAGCATCCTTCTCTTATTTTTTTGCTTTCCTCTAGAGTAGTTTGTAATCCAGGTTGGCTTTCCCTTTAAGTGAAGAAGATATATTAGAATCAGGCGTCTAGATCTCTTACAATTTTCAGATTATTGAATATTGTATTAAGTAATTTAATGACCCATTCTTGTAAAGTCAAAAGTTGAAATCTAGAAGATAATTTAATTTACCTAGTCAGGATTTTTCGTTAAAATATTAAAAATCCCACTTCCACATGCCCCAAATGAAATCATCTCTCGCTTTAGTTCTAATATAAAGTATAATTGAGACAGCTTATCATTGTCAAAGCAGTTCAATTTGTTTTGGTGACATAAGTACATCAGCTGTTCAGTTCATGACCTTGGTTTATGATGACCTTATGAATATAGACTGTATCATCAGAACATAAACACAGGGGAAAAGTATAAGTATCTTCCTTCCCAGTATGGAAATATAATGTAATTGAAACCGTCTACATGGCACAGTAAAACATTTTATTGATCTATAAAAAGGTTTTCAAGGAAATCACTTCCGAAATAGAGTAGAGTAGATATTTCCAGAGGTGTTTATATTCTTGGAGACCCTCATTCAAACACATTAATGACTACAGCTTTACAGTTACTGGAAGGCGACATATCAGCCTAGGATCTTAAAATAAGCTGTATATACTGTACATATCATCTGTACATGTCATTGCTTATGTACACAAACATTTAAAAGCTTTAACATTTGCAGCGAACTTCAAGTTTCCTGAAACTTACATGTAGGCCCAAAGCTTTCTTAGAATCCATTCTCAATATTTCTGCACTACTGGGACTTAACCTGCATTTACCCTAAATAAGTCAATTACAATAAATCTTGTACATTTTCTGTCAAATCAGTGCAACTTTTCTTTCTTTTAGGGAATTCTTTGAAGTTTACTTCATAATCACCATATTACCTTATAGCACAAAAAAAGACCTGAAGTGGAATAAGTGTAAGCAAGCGCTTGGATTTTCAACCAACATTAACCAGAAAAGTTATTTTAAAATCAGAGGAACTTCATTTTTATGCTACGAAGATGAAGTCATCCCTTCAATGATATTGAATAAGTGAAAGTAATCTCTTGGATCTTCACAAACTTTTACCAGAAAGATATTCATCTGAAAATCAGAGGAACTTAATATTCATGACACCAAGATGATGTCATCTCTTCACATCTTGTGAGAGATGAAGAAGCATCGCATCGGTATGATGGGGGTTAATTTGTTAATTTGTCTTCATCATCCTCCCAACCCTCCGTCCTGTGATAAATAGGAGTGCTCTGTGACCTTTCAATGAGACACCAGTATGCTCCGGCTTGAGTACATGGTGTCTCAGAAAAAGCAACCACAGCACATGAAAATTGGTGAGTACAAATGCACAGAAGCAAAAATGGAAATTGATTCAGCTCTGGACAGCTGAGAAAGAGCTCCAGAGAATTTCGGGAGGGCTTTGACCTGGAAACACGACAAAACAATGAATCTCCTCTTAGAAAACCTCACTTTTAATGACTTTTTAAAGATGCTGGTGGGCATAAAACTTTTATACACTGCATTACACTTACATGACCAAACAGCTATCATGAAAAGGCTGCATACATGATATGAGTATAATCATCAGTTTATTCACCTGCCAGTGTAAATAAAACTTTAAAAAGGAACAAGATTAGAAGCTCTGAAGTATGAAATGTACCAATTACTGTTACAAGTGGTAAGCTCAAAAGAAAACATGAATCAATGATACCGACAGAAAGTAGTAATAAGTGCATGATGACATCTTATTTCAGATTTTGAATCCAATCATATTAAGAAAGTTAAATACATGTTTAACTTCCCCATATGTTTATCAGAACTGTAGGCCTATAGTATACTACTGGGGTCTCATTGAAATGTATAGCATACTGATACTGATACGTATGTGAATCAAAGACACTATTGGATACTACATGTAGCTTACCAATTTTGATGTTGTGACACTGTGTAGTAGGTCTAATAGATAGAAGATGTAGAGGTCAAATAATCAGCTGGTTAGCACATGACATCACATAGACTTAACATCATGTCAACTAGCGGACATGAACGGGATAATGGGGGCAAGTCACCCCCCCCCCCCTCCCCCATACATCCTTCACCAGGAAAAGAATGACACTCTATTTTTACACAGGCCTATACTTCAGGACTTATTTCAAAGACAATAACGATTTATTTAATACTGGAAAAAACAGAAACATGGAGCATATACTTTAAATACCAGTAGTTTTCTACTAAGCCCCAACAGAAACAGGGAAACTGCATGACATACTACTAATATTAAAGATACTAATTCCAAACATGACAATTTATGATGAAGGGGAAATGAGACCCAGGGCCCATTTATCAACCCATTTATAGCATGCAACTAGGCGATGATAAGATAGCAGAGCTATATAGCCTTCAAT